CCAAGCTGCCTGAGCACAAACCACTGAAGTGCCACCAAGAGACAAGGAGCTGTCAAAATGACTGAATTTCCAGTTTTGTACCAGGTGATGGAATAAAGCTTTGCATATTTTAAAGACTTAAACAGAAAAAAAAAAAAGCAAATTAGAGTTTGGACAAACTTTAAGACCTCTGTTTATTACAAGTAAATAAACTGCTCAGTTTCAGATAAACTCTCACTTTTCAAACTAATTAAATTTTTTATATTAAGACTTAAATGCCAAATTCTCCTCCAATATTTACTTTTGTCAACTAGATTTCTTAGAAACAAAAGAACCTGCCAGCATCCCATTCAGCTACAGGGAAGTCTTCAGCAAATTTCTAAGTTTATATTGTTTCGGCCAAAAGCTCAACTTGTTCACCCAAATTCATTCAGCTGAATACAGACTGGTACAAATGCTTACAATCTCAATCAGCTCTGCAGTTTCCCTAAGCCACATATTCCCCCAGCTTCCTTCTGAAATACTGCCTCAGAATCCAAGTATAAAAAAAAGAAAGTTAGGAAAGGAATCTAGACCTTCCAATCCTAGTTCATTTGATTTTTCCAATTTTCTGCCACTTGAAATACTACAGTTTCTGGAGAACAGCTCAATTCTGTGTAATTCCTTTCACATCAGTAAAAGCATTTACATTATTTCTGGTTTTATATTATCTAGAACAAGATTTAGAACAGGCAACTTAAAACAGTAACACCTGAAGTCTTAAGTGACTGTTAGAAAAAAACTACTATTGAAGAAGTATAACTAAGTGTCCTCTACTCTGTTAAGATTTAATAGTTTACATTACTTTCCCATGGGATTTTTTCAGTCATTTATACTTCATTGCTTCATATGGCTATAGAATTATTAAAAAATGTAAAATTATATCTCACTCACTGCTTTATGCTATACCTTCTTTTGTTCAGATCCAATTAGTGAAAGCTTGTTCTTCATTTATCATACTTTTAGCTGATTACATCAGGCATTACAATAGTTCTCTAGCTTTCCTTGACAATGTTTGCACCATCAGTGTTACATTTATGGTTGAGGAGGCTCTTTCATCTTAACCCTCTATTCCAATCATATATCTCACTCACTGCTTTATGCTATACCTTCTTTTGTTCAGATCCAATTAGTGAAAGCTTGTTCTTCATTTATCATACTTTTAGCTGATTACATCAGGCATTACAATAGTTCTCTAGCTTTCCTTGACAATGTTTGCACCATCAGTGTTACATTTATGGTTGAGGAGGCTCTTTCATCTTAACCCTCTATTCCAATCAGTTCAGGGGGAAAAAGTACATACAATTACACTTGTTCAGCCAAAACTTCTCTGCTTGTTTTCTCATATCAAAAATAATTCCACCAGATGTTTTAATTAAAAAAAAGTCATTCCAAACTCTATTGGTCCTTCCCCACTTCACCTATCCAAGTGTAAAGAATTAGTGCTCTGCAAGTTGAACCCTGAAGTTAAAACACCAAAACCACCCAGCAGTTTGAACAGTACACAACTTCTTACCCCAAAATAACAGATGTAATAAAAGAGCCTTAGCCAATATTTTCAAGAACCTAAAAGCAACTATTATGACCTACTTTTTTCAAAACATTCAGTACCACATGAGCAACTGTACGCTCTGTGGGGGTCTCAGCAGGCTGTTTTCCCCAAACACCACAATGATTTTTATTTCAGGACAGTTGTGAGAGCAGCAGCTTCTCTTCCACAGCACAAATAACTTTAGATATTACCTTTTCTCCCCAATTCACACCCCCTCCCACCTCTACAAAGATAAATGCAATCCAAACTCATCTAATACCATTTCCAGCTACTTGTAACTTTGCATTGATACAGAAGCACCCAAAAGTCTCTGAAGTCACACATCTCCTTTTAAGTTTTGTTAATGTTGCCTTCCCTATCACCTTAACAATTTTAGCCTATAAAAATCTTTCAGATCTTTGGCAACTACTTTTAATTAAGAGCACAAAACAGTACATTTTGTTCTTTGCATCTTCCCTCTTCAGGTAAACTTTATTTGGCTCTCAACAGGTTGTCCAATTTTGGCCACTTTCCCACTTTGTAACAGTCCTCGCTGTTGCTTCCTGGTCATAATGGCAAAGTTCTTGAAATAAAAATCCCTTTGTGCATATATAGTCTAGTTACTAGTTTTATATATTAATGATAGGTACGTCAAAATTCATATTACTCTATCAGCATACTCAAGACATTTGCCATGGTGCTCCACAGAAGCTAAGCCTGAAGAACAAGAGAAAGCCATTCTATGGAAAGTTTATATGTATTTCAGCTATTCCTACCACCTCTATTCAGCACTGGAAACTCCTCAAGTATTTCAGATAGTTTTCAAATTTAAAATAAAAAAAAAAAAAGGAAAGAATGTTGAATATTCAACCAAAAAAATCCAAACTAAAGCTCTACAGTAAGATTACTCACTAGCAAGTCTTACAGCACCTTTACTCAAAGACCATTCTTCTAAGTCTATGTACACCACCTCCTACCCAAACACCAAAATGCCTGCTTGGGTCATTTACACATCACTGGATAGGGAACAAATTAGCAGGTATCACAGAGAGCCTGAATCGCTAGATACCTTGTGACTGTTTTCTTCCCACCCTTAAATATTCAGTGAGCAGCTGAAGGAACTCAGCTTCAGGTCAATTTCAGCTCTCTTTTCAACCACTGTGTCAGCCAGAGAGATGCAGCAGAGTGCTGGGACTGCCCTCCTTTTAGTTACCTTTGTAACAATCAATTCATTTTAAGAGTATCAGGCTACCCATTTTTCAGCAGGGAGCTATAGAGATGACAGGTAAAATAACGGGCTATTACATCTCAAAGGTTACTCCAAGTTCTAACCAGAAAATTCATCTACTCCAATTAGTGCTTTTTTCTAAACACATTAATAAAAAAACTATTTTCGTAAACCATCCCTTGTACTGAGAGGTTTGGTCAGCCTAAGTAAGGATTCAAAGAGCAAAGCAGACACTATGTCACCCTTACAGCATTTGTTAGAGCCTCATCTCTTGTCCATGGACTCAAAATGTCAGCATCTCATTTAACACACTTAATGTCATCTTTATGAACTGGTACAGGTATATTAATGCATTTCTGAGACTCCAGCTTGGATTTCCTTTCCCTGGTGAACTCTTACAAATGAAAGACTCTATTTGTATTTTGCAGCTAAGACAGCAATGTAGATCAAAGCAGCATAGACATATTTTCAATTTCCTTTTTGGAATGCACTATTTGCACTCCCTTCCCTAAGATCATGAGTTGTACTTTTTCATGTCATTCTTACTCCCTCTTTATGTTCTTCAATCTTGGTTTTTACTTACTGCTTTCAGATTTTTTTCATAGACTCCAGCTCATAGCAGAGTCCACAGGATAAACAGACACACTGGAGAGAAGACCAATTCATTTTCTCAAGTCTGTTATGGACTGGTGAAAGAACATGTTTTCTCTTTTCAAGCAGCTTTTTAAGTCTATTTTCAGGATGAATTCATGCCAGTGAATAAGGCTATGCAGTGCTGCCAAACAGTGAATCCATTAATCCTAATAGTAGATACTATATACATAAGATGGAATTCAAGTATCCATCAGCATGCTTCAGTTTTACTAGAGGAATCACAGATCACAGAGTAGTTTGTACTGATATCCACATAACCCTTGGCTTCTAAAGGAATTAGAATTTATCATGATGTCTGACATCCACTCATTAAGAATTCATTTCACACTCCATTGAGCACTCAACAAGCTACTACACTCTACCAGTTATGGCTACCAGTTGAAACCCAGACCAAGTATAGTTTCCATTCACCTCAAAGAAAGAATTACTCGGCATAAAAATCCATCAGAAGAGCATTTGTTCTGTCTCTAAGTCCAGTTTCAGTCCCTTGTTCTATGTACAGCCTATCTATATGAACTGAGCTGGTTGTGTAGGACTGGAACCAACCAGGTTGATTCTATGATTCTGTGTGCTGTCCAAGTCCAAAACTCCCAACAGTTCTCACCTTTCACTTAACTCTAAAAACACCTAAGTTTTAACTACTTTCAGACTTCATCAGCCACGCTTCAGTTTTTCCAGTAACTCACCACTTATATTCACAAGTCCTGAACTGCATAAAATACACTTTTTTTTCCTGAGTGACTTTTATTAAATCATAACACAGGAGTTTACCTCCCTTCCACAGTTCAACAAATTGGGGGACATTGGGGCATTCCCAGTACTTTCTCCTGTAGCAGTTCCTGCAGGCAAGGAAAAGTATTTTGTTCTCTGGCCAACAAGAATATGCAAGTATGACTACACCTGCTGATACATTACAAAAGAAATTATCCTCCTATTCTTGCCATGAATTACTTCAAATATTTCTAAAACAGAGCCTACAGGACCTGAAAATGGGTGAGTAGCTAGACAAGTTCCTTACTTGTCTAGAAAGCCATTTTACCACGCTCCTGCCATGCTGCAGAATATTCAAGGCATCACAATATCTTCATCAAATGGAAATGCTCCAGTAAGCCTGCTCAGCACATCTGGTAGGAGAGGGCATTATTTCTGTGAAGTAGGAAGCAATGAGCTGGATTTGCCAGGCACAGGGAGAATTTATACTAAGCTCTATACCATCTCCTAAGATCCACTTCTCATTGCCTTTTTTGTGCATATTAGCAAAACAAAATTTAGGTTTCACTGCCACTCTCACACTTGATGCACATATCTATGTGCATGTGTGTAGCTTAATCCACACAAACATTTACACACAGAAGAGTTCACAGACAAAACATGCTAAATACTTGTCCAATCCTCCTTCCACCTTGGTATCTCCATTCCCTTCAAACACATAGACCAAAAGGACATAGAGAAAGACACTTCAGAATTGCCAACGTGCCTACCACAATAATTAACAAGCTTGCAGAACAGCTGCAAGTCTTGCTGATTCCTAAGAACCTCATCTACCATTTGAATTCAAGCAGTACTTACAGCATTGGCATCAACGTCGCTGTGTATGGCAACTGTTTTAATCCCCATCTTCTTACACGTTTTGATGACCTACCACACAGGAAGTGACAATATCAGTATTTAAAATATCAACAGTTTAAGAATTAACTAAAAGGAAATTAAAATATTACATACTTACTCGGCATGCAATCTCTCCTCTGTTGGCAATAAGCAGCTTTTCAAAAGTCTGAAAAGAACAATACAGACCTTGAGAGATGAACAGAACTCAAGTTTGTCTCCCTCCAGAAACATGCATTCCTTTTCTCCTCCACTTCCACTGAAACCACAGCTTATCCCTGAGCTTGTAATTCTGAGATCATCTACTTTTAAAACAGTTGTGCTGATTTAACAGTGACAATGTAACACGAAGAGGAAGCTATACTAGATCTACCTAGCACATACACAGGTTCAGAAGAAAACAGTTTTGACTATTCACACCAGCATTCCTTGGATCTCCAACCATGGACAGTGCAGAAACTAGAACTCTACAGCAGTTTGAGGAGCCAGTCACATCCAGGAAAGAGGTGCAGGTAGCTATGCTGCCTGGTGGCAGTACAGGTACAGTGCTGGCAGGTACAGCACTCAGTGCCTCTAACCAGTACAGATGACCTGAAATACAAGACATCTATTGTGGAAGACCATTAAAAGACATCCCAATCACAAGGAAGGGAGGCTCCTCTCTGCCTAGGGCGTGGAGGGTAACAGACCAACACTGACCCTACAGAGACACCTGCTGAGTTGTGCCAGACTTGCCCCTCCTCATATCTGAGTCTGAGGCGAGGAACCTGACAAAACCCCGCACTGCCTTGTGGCACTGTTACACACTCAATACTAAGTAGCAACCACAGCATAACAGAACAGCAAATCAAACTTGGTACACCCCTGAAATTCACTAACCATTCACACTGGACTGCACATAATGCTGCAAATATACTTTCAATACTCCTACCATGCCCGCAAGAAGGGGACAACAAGTCATCAGAAGTCAATAAGCCTTACACCCCAGGCAAAACCTTCCCATTAAGAGTAGAGTGCTGGAGGAGCAGATAAAAACCTCATTGCTGGGGCTAAGGGTTATTGCTGCCACAGTCCTTGCTACTAAATGCACAGGTGCACTTTGGTACTGCACCTGCTCAGCTGTAAATGCACAATGTCTCCAAAAGGCACAGCCCTGCTTTACACTCTTATCCCCACAGCTTTCCAAGCACCAGATCTAGCAGAGATGCAGCTCCAGGACGTATCACCAGTTTAAAACAGTAATCAAGCAGTCCTACTCTGCCTCCCATGCCTCAGATAAAGAGGATAGGGAACTAGCAGAACGTCCCCTTCAGAAGCAGCCTGCAGTCATACCACATCAGGTTCAAACTATACCCTAAGACACTTGATAGCTATTCTCCTTCCCCTACACCAAACAGTTGGTTTTCATATGGACTGGGGGGAGAGGAACTACTGCCACTGCAACAATCAAACTGTTGTTAGCCTCACAGTCATTAATTAATTTGGGAAGGGGAAAACAGGTGTCAGAGGAGAGGAAGGAACACTGCAAAACCCCAACAGGAACTGCTACTGACAGACTACAATACATATTGTTTGCTCCCCTACTCCCAACAGACAAACCTAAGGTGCCCTTGACCAAATCTACTCTCACAAAATCAGGCCTGAGCTGGCATCTCATGACCAGTTTAAAAATACTACCACGTGATAACTCCATACAGAAATGAAGTGATAACAAAACCCTCCAGGTAAGAGCTGCAGCAAGCTTATACAGTAAATTCAACTAGATCTGCTGAATACCACTGCCTAGTCCACAGGCACACCCACACCCCACTCAGAGGATGGACCCCAAACATCCTTAAGCAGGCTCAATTATCAGAGATACAAGTACTTTCACAACACCACAGGAGCTAGCAATTTATTTGGAGAGCATTTTTAGCTGGGGATCTGATCTAGAAAGGCTACCAACATGCTACCACAAATTGTTCCTGAATCTAAACTGCAGCATTCTAGGTACCTAAAGATTTTCAGGTATACAGACTTGAAGGGGAATTAGAAAAAACTCCCAAACACTTGGCATTGAAAAGTTTAATGACTTAAACACTCCATCAACTTAGCTCTTGGTGTATAAAAGTTGTTTTATTAATCAGCTGTGGTCACAGTGCAAGACAAGACTTTCAGTATCAAGATGTTCAGAATATTTGGCATTCATTTCAGTTTTCCAATTCTGCAATAAAGACACTGAGAAACTGGTCTCCTGCTCCTGCTGTTAGACAGCGCAATATAAAAATTAGCAATCACATACTGCTTTGAAGCGACTTCTTTTTAATGTCATTTACACTAATTAGCTTAAAAAGGTCTCATATGAAAGCCTTGTCATTACGAAGACAGTAGAAGGGGCAATGAATGAAAAAAGCAGAAAAGAGCTTAAACTATTTGTAGTAGCCTCTAGCTGGAATGACACAGCTCCTAGCTGAGCAAAACCAAATAGTCAATTACATTGGTTAAACATAACTACTCTTTCAGAAAAGGAAGGGGACCTTGATTAAGCAAGGAAGGACCTTAAGAAAAAAGCAATCTTCTGAAGAAATCTGTAAAGCCACAGCTCTAGGTACACAGATTATCAGTTTCCTTCTACACTGGTATACAAGGGCAAGCCTCTCAGTCCTGAATTGTTGGCATCCTTGCCCCGAATACTAGTGTACCTTCAGTCACATTATTTTTCCAAGTGTGTGACTTAAGAGGCCATGCCAAAACATTTCCACAAAGTTTTTCTTGGCTCATAACTGTAAATTGAGAGTGCTACTGCACAAGCCCCAAGATGAGGATTTGCTATTCTCTGCAGGCCTTAAAGGCCCATTTTATCCAAGCTCTAAAGTTCTCACCCCCATGCCAGATCATCTAACAATCATGCTGCCACTATTACATGCTTTTGTTTCCATGAAAAGCTTTCAGCTAGTCTAGCCTCCAGATGTTTTAACAGGCCCATTACCACCCACACCATGCAAAACATTAACAGTTGTTTCATAATTATAGCATGTTCAGGCCAGTATGTAACTTTCCCAAGCCCACAATCACTAATTCAACCTTTTGGTATACACTTGAAGTAGTATGCAATCTTAACAAGTACACTGGAAAAGCAACTTTCTCTTTGGTTTAGTAAAAGAAGAAAAACATGCTATTAAACCAGTGATGGATTATACTGGGAGAACTACTATTGCTGGTAGCAGCACAGAGGAGAGCTTAACTTAGAAAACCAAATGTCAGTAGTACAGTAAAATGTTAGGGAAAACATGCACCATACTACTTACCTTTTCATTTGGATCGTATACAGATGAATACAGCTTCTGTGAAGTTATAAGGCACCATCTTGAACACCTCGTTTCACACTAGAGAAGAAAGAGGGAGTTAAATCTTTGTCTCCTGGTACAGTATTCCATTAAAATAAAAACATTTCATACATTGACATCTTGAGGAAACTTTTATATCCTTTCATTCCCTCACCAAGAGGATGAAAGCTCACACAGAACTGCCCTTCCCCATGCACACACCCACAAACAGAAACCAGAAACAATTCAGAAGCTCTAGATGTGAAGTCATTAGCTTCGGTATAAACTTTTTTTTTAATAAACTCTCCACTGTACAGTCTTCTTTCCCCCTTGTTCCAAGAAATACCTCCTAAAGACTTCTCAAAAGAGCATGAATGTGTCTGTACACAGTGGGCATGAGGAGAGGCCTTCACTGCTAGGGAACTGTTGGAATTAGAGCAGGTAGTAGACTGGGCAAGCACAGAAAGCAAAAGTAGAACAGACTTTAGATGCTAACTCAGCTCCCAGAGTCTTCCCTACCACAATCCCTGACAGTGGTCTGAGGAAAAGAGGACCTTTTCTCTGAGACTTCTGCTCTGAACCAGCTTCTACAAAGACAGCTTCTATAGTTCAACGTTTTTGCATGACACATCAGCAAAAAGCAGCATACACACAATTTCAAAGAAAACACAGATGATACAACAGACCAAGTGAATCACAGACTCAGATACGTATTTCTCAAGCAAGTCAATTTACAATATAATGGCAGTTATGGTTATGAAAAAATATAATCAGACAGATAAATGATACCACACTCAAGCTGCATCAATACAGACAGCTCTGGGAGAACAGCACAACAACAAAAAAACTGTAAAAAGCCTTGATACTAAATATTGCCTAGTAGGAACCACAAAACACCAGTAACAGGCACATGACAGTCTGTCAATTCTGTCTGAAAGACAGAATTCTGAGTAAGCAGTAGAAAGTAAAGGCTCTTCTGTGAGAAGACTGGAAAAATCCCATGAAAATGGACTACATTAGAAAGAAAACCAAACACTAAGGAAGCATACATTCATATAAAGAAGTAAATTAGAGAATTTATTTGCACCTTCCACAAGAGTAGTGAACTTCAGATAACTGAAAAATTGATCAAATTTTAAGTTTACTGTAAGCTCATACTGATCTTGAGGCACCAATGCCTGGCAATAACTGGAATGAGAAGACTCCCTATGCAGACCTCTAGGCTGATCTAGTTTGAAAATACTTCTCATGTTGCATCAGAGAAAGCAGAAACCAGCCCAGGACTGAGAAGGACATTGCGTTTGTAATGCAGCTGATATTATCGGGTTATAAAGAAAAACAGTATGTTTCAATACAAGTTTTGTAATACAGAACTGAAGGAAGCCTTAGAGCATACTGTCTCATGCCAGCTCCAACCAAGCCTCCTGAGCAGAAAGCTACTATAGTTTCACAGACCATTCAGATGCTCAGCACCAATGGCAGACACAGCATACACTGTCCCCAGGTAATTAATCCAACCATGCTTAATTCTTCTGGAACAACTCATATATGCTTAACCATTCTGAAAGTAAAAAAAAGTCAGTGGAAAGCAACTGTTCCACCATTTCCCATGCTGGGTTCTTTCCCCATTCCTTTTTTTTTTTTTTAGCTTTGATGAGGGTTTTTGCATGTGTCATTTTTTTCACTTCACTGCTCAAGAATAAAATTCAGAACAACCTGAAATGCAAATCATTTGATATGCTAGAATCAAAACCATCAGAGGTTTCTTTTTTTTTTTCTTGTAGAGGTGTATTATCCTTCATCAGAGGATCTGACAGTACAAGCTATTTCAGGTGTTTAAGGAATGCAGCCAAGGACAGAATTCTGCCAGCTGTAATCACACCTACCAGACAGTCATCATCCAAAGTTTACAGCAGATTGTATTGTGATCTAGATACTGTCAGAGGGAAGAGCAAGGACAGCTACAGCAGAAGCAGCAAAGTATACTCTTCAGCTACAGAGTACACACAGTTAAGCAGATTGAGTCCCTCTCCTCTGAAACACTATTGACAGAAGTGCTTGATGGACTACAAACAGTCTAAAGAAGGTCATACAAGACACACAAAAAAATCTCCACCGAGTTAATATTATTCATTGGAGAAAGTGCTTGTTAAGGGTCAGTGGAACTAATCTAAATACTTGCAGTTAGCAGGGGGAAGGGGACAACCAGGCAAGGGAGGAAAAGCTTCTGAACTTTCTTGTAAACACCTTTTATTCAAAGCTAGTTTTGAATGCCTATGAGAAGCCAGAAAATTCTATGCTACAGACTGGAAGGAAAGGCTATGAGGAGGAAAATTACTTAGCATTAAGCTGCAGAATTTTAGCCATCTTGGAAAAAAGACCCATTCAAACTTTTTATACAGAAAGAGTAAAGTTACCAAGCAATTAAAAAAACTTTAAACCACACTCAGGCCTGTTTTTACACTACAGAATTGGAGAGATTCCACAAAATTCTTGTAATAGCCTAAGCTAATCATGTACCTATGTTTAAAAACTTAACTACCTCCTCTCTCTCACACACACAAACCACTTAGAAAACCAGGTTCAGCCCTGAATTGAATACATGTGGGGTAATTTCCTAAAACAAATCAAGCACATTGCTCAACTCAGATCTGAAATCCCAACTCTGATTTACAGCTTTGGAAAGAAGGGGTTCTGTATGTACCTGTACCAATATACACTGTGGTTTAAGAGCTTGCTTAATCTAGAAGTCACTTCAAGTTAAGTCTCTTTAGACATCTGCTCCTAGCCACTATGAGCAACTGAATAATTTTAAATAACTTTAAAACAAACAAGCATTTTGTAAATAATGCACAGCTGGGGCCACAAAGGAACACGGCTAAATTGTCATCTCCAAATCCACAGCTACTCAGGTGTCACCTACCCTTGGGCTCCCAAGCTCCTGCTGTCGGTAGGTTCATTAAAAGCTACACCAAAACCCGCAAAGAACTCTAAAACCACCAACCCAGCAAAGCCAATCTAACTCTCGAGCTACATCCTTAATTGGCTGCCTCCCCAAAACCACACATGCCCTGGGTGTTGTATGAAAGTTTCCTCAGAGCACAGCGCAAAGAGTTCAGCTTGACCTTGTGCCTTTTTCGCACCTTGCAGAACTAGGAGAGGGCACTAGAGTCATTGGGTATAAACTATTTTTGTCATGACTTGTTACTTCAATTTTATCAAGTTTTTGACTGTTCAAAGCTCAAGAATGCAGACTATTCATTTAGGAGAGCTCAGCTCTGGACTTCTGCATTTGGCTTGAAGTTTCTCACCTCCACTGAATCTTCAGAAAACAGTATTAGTACTGTATTTCAGAAAAGCATCCTGCTTTATCTACTAATTGCACAATAGCCAAGCTGAGCTCAAACCTGAATAGCTGCAAAAGTTATTTTATAACTTCAAATAAAACAAAATTAGGCTACACAGTAACTTGTGGAACAGTACACCCATCACACACTGACACTTTGAGACTTAGCAGAGAACCTGCCTCCCCCCAGGGACACACTGCAGCCCTGGGAAACTTCAGGTGGTTCAAGGGCACAGCATACAACAGCAAAACAGAAAATCAATTTGTTATTTAGATATGGTGGACATGTGTTTTTAAAGGTTCACATGCCTGCATCAAAGAAAGAAATTTCCCTGCCACATTGGTCAGCTGGTAAATAACTCATTAATACTGAGCTTCGCAGGCAGAAAAAGACCTCAGTGTTGAGGTGGAGATGCAAAGTTCCAGATATCAGGCAGGAAAAGCATAATATATCAACATGTGCTCTAAGAAGTCTAATATGGAAAGAAGTGTATATTTTAGCACTACTAGAAAATACAGTAAGCAACACCCAATACTAACAGCTAGACTAGCACACTCATTTTCCCTAGACACAAGTTCTACCTCTTGTATCTTCCACCAAGGTTTTTTCCCCTCTGACCAGGTTTGTGAAACTCAGAATTCTAGGAAAAGAAAATCTGTTTTTCACATTTGCCAATGTGGCACACAAACTACAACCAAGCACATGCTCCTCCACCTAAGGCTATTTCTTTTTAAACTAAATCATTCCTATACCCAGGTAGCTTCTCCTCTGCGCCAGTCCTTAAAGTTTGTGCAGTCACACAGTGAACCAGACATGGGAATACAACCAGCTGAGAAGATACTCAAAGAGTGGGAAAAATGTGGTCTCAGCCAGATTTCAGTCCCACGTATCCACTTGGATATTCATGTAACAGTGCTGGCACAAGTTGGAGGGAGACAGGAGCTCAAAAGGAACAGCCTGTGATCAAAACCTAGCAGCTGGAGAAAGTTGGAATAGTTTCTCAGGGCAGCAGCTAAACAGCTCAAGTAAGGCCATCACCTGTGAGACACATCACAGCACTGTAACAACCATGCAGGAACCACCAGTGCAAGTTTGGGACAGACAAAATAACATGAAAATTAAAACACAGTGTTTCAGAACAAGAGTGTACTCAGTGTAGACTTCAATGAACTCTTGAATTTTTTTCCTTTCAGAACTAAGATTTGCCCATAGTACATGACACAGCATGTTTATTCCCTACAGAAAAAGCTACCCCTGGAAGCAAGGAGAAAACCTGAAATCTCAACCTGCACTATGCTTTAAGAATGTTTGTGAGTACTAAAGCCTGTAGTTTACATACTAGAAACAACCACTGAACTCCAGAAGTCTATAGCTACATTCATCTCCGCAGACTGGTGAGCATTTTAACTCACTTCCCTAATGGCAAATGGTGCCAGTCTTACTATCCCATCAGCCTGGAAGCAAGGAGAAAACCTGAAATCTCAACCTGCACTATGCTTTAAGAATGTTTGTGAGTACTAAAGCCTGTAGTTTACATACTAGAAACAACCACTGAACTCCAGAAGTCTATAGCTACATTCATCTCCGCAGACTGGTGAGCATTTTAACTCACTTCCCTAATGGCAAATGGTGCCAGTCTTACTATCCCATCAGCCTGGTGCTTCTGTGCTCATAGCAAGGGCAAAAATACTCCCTGGAGTAACAGCATGCTAA